CAGCTCTTTGTGCTCACATATGTGACGGGCAGCTTGGCGAAGTGATGGCGCTGGTCATTTGTGTGATTAACTTTATTGTTTCCAGAGCCTTAAGTGATCGACAGTTTAAAACACTGCTGGATGAAGTTGGAAATAACTATCATGGTCGGATTTTGCACAGCGATGTACGTTGGTTGTCAAAAAGGAAAATGCTTAGCCGTGTTGCAGCTTGCCTGAACGAAATCCGGACGTTCCTTAAAATGAAGGGCATTGAGCAAATTTTCACATTTTCTTCTTTTAGGGCTTGACTACAACCATTAATGTCCGAATGGCTGCATAGAAACCCATAACAATCTTTCGGAGTCTTAACCCTGGTCAGAAGTAACGAAACATTACATGTCCGTTAAAGCATTCTTAGGGTGAAACTTTAAAACTGATTTAATGGTAATTGGGTAGAAAGTAATGATGAAGCGGAAAGAAACTTTTAGAAAGCGCATTGATTAGGCCAAGTGATTAAACTTTCGAGGAAATTCTACGCTAGTGGAGGCCGCCAATTCCGATACCGACATTTATAAAGGTACTCTGACTGCTGAGCAAAGAAAATGGATAAAAAATATGCTCCGAATTGAATCTGACGCGGAAAATATAGCATTAACATACTAAACACATGCGTAACGATTCGAGGTCCACATATTTTATCGCGTTCATTATTTCCCGACTGCAAGGAAGAAGAGTTCATGAATGGTGTCTTATTTGCACTAACATTTAGGTAACCTGTTCATTTCCATCAGCAGACTATTTCCACGTGTACAGTTGGGTCAGCAACTATATATATATGTAATATACCCCATGCTCGTTTATAATAAGATCCAGTACTCCGCAATAACTTCGGACCGCACGACCAGCTAATCCAGAGCTGCAATTGCAACCATTTCTATGTCCATCCTTTAAGTTTTTGCCACCAAGTAGGTCACAACTTTTGTGGTCTTGTACGATAGTTTATATACACATTAGGTAGTTATTTGCTAGGGTTCGGTGATTAATAGCTTTGAGGAAAATACCCATGGAACCAGTTTATATCCACATCAAAATCTACCAAATTTTCGCCATCTTGCGTGTAATCTTAAACGGAAATTGCTTTCATGTGCATAGAACACAAATGCTATCGAAGTCGACATAAAGGGGGTTTTTCTGAGAGTTTTAGTAACTGAGATACCATTTATTGTGTAAATTAATGGGAAATTGCTTTTTTGAAAATCATGCCTTAGGATTCGTTTATTTGAGCGGAATACATCTAACATTGTACATCGTTTTGTTCATGACTTCCTTCATCGTTTAAGTGTCAAATCAAGGTGTAGGTCAACCATGTGACATACTCTGTCATGAATAAATGTTCTGCTGGGTAGAATAGTGGGCGTTCCCGATTAACCAACCAGCGTTAAAATCAATGGTTCGTGGCACAATTAAAATTGATTTAGGTTAGGCCGTTACCCTGGTTAGTCGTAAATGCAGATTGCTTTTATTTGAGTAGAACACAAATGCTGTCGACATGGACATAAAGCAAATCCCTTTTACACTTTTATTCTTGAAATGAACATCAAATTAAATGTGTAGAAGGCTGCCTTCTTGGCGATCCTCCCATACGGAACTGATTCCTGGAGCCCTTCTCTAACCAAGCAAGAAAACTGGATCTCTTCCGTCTCAGCAGCCTTCGCAGAATTCTGTAGCTCAAATGGATTCCAGAAATGCCATGTTCAGGGAAGTCCAACTGCGATGGAACGACCAACTGGTGAGGATGGACGACGAGCGACAATCTAAAGGAATCTTCTATGGAGATGTCGCTGTGGGTGCTCACTGACAGGGTGGACGCAAAAGACGCTACAAGGACACCCTGAAGTACTCCCTGGTCTCCGTGTGAGCTTATTAGTCCACGTGCGCCTGTTTGAAAACCTGTGGTAGAGCACTGTCGGCTATGCCAGCACTCAACCACCACCAGCACCAGACAATGCATGCTTACCGATGACACTTCTCAGGTTGGAGGTGTGATTCTCGGCGTCGTCTTCCACTGCAGCGTGCTCGCCAAATGCCTGCCTTTTTATCATTTATTTTGACTGCTTTTATGTTTTCAAATATATTTTATGGAAAAAATGCACTAAAAATTACTTTTTGTACTTGTTTGATAGTAAATTACGCCTTCTTTAAATTTTATAACTAAAGAAAGGGTATCTATTGGTTTTAAAAATGTTGCTAATTTTGAGCTTTTTTTAAAATTGTGAGATGTTTATTCATAATATATCGTAGCCATCAATTTATTAATGCTGCCT